TGCCGAGTTAATTCTTACATATATGAGCAAACTATTACAAGATTTAATTTGAATATACAGTAAATAAATCATGACGAGAATAACAGAGATTGAGCTAACCACGGGAACTAGCATAGTAGATGATCATATCGAATCTAAGGCACATACTAGAAATAGAAATTCTAGCACGATCTCAAACAAAAAGGACATGATCATATACGGTGTAGCCCGAGCAGAACCGTTGGCCTTGATGTTGTCGCCCATGTCATTGATGAAGAGGTTGCTGAGGTCGGGGAAGAAGTCGCTGCCAGTAGTCGCGCGAGTGCACTACGTAAAAACCTGATCGCCACTCTCCAGTACAGGATCACCACTAGTAGAAAAGGGGGCAAAGGTCCAGGCCGGGTCAGCCCATTAGTCCCGGTTCAGTCCAGAATCGGGACCAATGGGGGCATTGGACCCGGTTCGTGAGCCCAGGGGGCTGGCCGGGCCACGTGGGCCATTGGTCCCTGTTCGTCTGGACCTTTGGTCCCGGTTGGTGGGACGAATCGGGTCCAATGGGCCTCGCTCCTGGCCCACCACCATTGGTCCTGGTTGGTGGCTTGAACCGGGACCAAAGGCTTCCCTTTAGTCCCGGTTCATGCCACCAACCGGGACCAATGGGGGTGCCTATATATACCTCCTCGCGCAAGAGCAGAGCACACTGCTCTGTTTTTTCTGGCCGAGGGGGAGAGGGCTTGGTGGTGCTCTAGCTCACCTCCTATGCACACAAGGTGTTCGATGGAATGCCCGAGCCACACTACTTAAGCTTTCTCCTCTCCAAGCTTGACCTCCAAGCTCCATTTTCCTCAATATTTGTCTAGGTTTAGCGGTCCATCACGCCCCGTCCCCGTCTTCACCGCCGTCGATCACCTGCGCCGAGCTCATCGCCGGCACCACCGTGGTGAGCCTCTTATTCTTATCTTCTTTCTGAAAGGAAAAAATATTCTTACTTGTATGTTTACATAGATACTTGTATTATTTTCTTACTTTTATTATTGCATCTTATATAGTGCGATGGTTTTGATATCCGCCCCCGTCGGCCCTCGTCCTGTCTATGATTCGGATGTGGTATATATATTATCTTTATAACTATTGGTTCATTTATTGTTTATGAAAATTATGCCGACCAACGTGACATAGATTTTATTTATCTAGGATGTATGTGAACCGGAAATTCCAACCGACCCTATTGTCGAGAGGTTAAATTTAGTTGAAGAAGAAAAAAATTTCTTGAAGGAAAAAATAAAAAAATTGAGGAGGAGAAGATGATATTGGAGTTGCATGTTGCGGATGTCGTCGATGATCACAAGATCAAGATGGATGCAATGCGCTTGAAGATTAGAAAGATTAGAAAATATGCCATCCATACCGAGGCTTGGTATCATTATGCCGTTGGATCAATTGTTACCTTGGTTGCGATTATGATCGCATTTGTTTTCGCATTGAAATGTTTTACATAGTTTCACTGTATGGTTTAATTAATTAGATGCTCTGGAGAGCTATATGTTGTTAGATGAGAACTATGTATGTACTTTGGTTTTAATGTGATGATAAACTTCTATTAATTTGGACACTTAATTATATATAATGCACGCAGATGAACCGGCAATGGATGTACGGTGACAGACACACCTGCGAGTACATTAAGGGCGTGCATGAGTTTCTCGATGCGGCTGAGGCAAACAAGAAGAATGGTTTTATGTGTTGTCCATGCACTAAATGTGGGAATACGATGTCTTACTCTAACCGGAAAATCCTTCACACCCACCTGCTTTACAAGGGTTTCATGCCACACTATAATGTTTGGACGAGGCACAGAGAAATAGGGGTTATGATGGAAGACGGCGAAGAAGAAGAGTACGATGACAACTATGTGCCCCCTGAATACGGTGATGCTGCAACGGGGGGAGCTGGTGAAGATCAAGAGGAACCAGACGATGTGCCCAATGATGCTGCAACGGGTGAAGCTGCTGAAGATCAAGAGGAACCAGACGATGTGCCCGATGATGATGATCTCCGCCGGGTCATTGTCGATGCAAGGACGCAATGCGTAAGTCAAAAGGAGAAGCTGAAGTTCGATCGCATGTTAGAGGATCACAAAAAAAGGTTGTACCCCAATTGCGAAGATGGGAACACAAAGCTCGGTACCGTACTGGAATTGCTGCAGTGGAAGGCAGAGAATGCTGTGCCTGACAAAGGATTTGAAAAGCTACTGAAAATATTGAAGAAGAAGCTTCCAAAGGATAACGAATTGCCTGACAGTACATACGCAGCAAAGAAGGTCGTATGCCCTCTAGGATTGGAGGTGGAGAAGATACATGCATGCCCTAATGACTGCATCCTCTACCGCGGTGCATACAAGGATCTGAACGCATGCCCGGTATGCGGTGCATTGCGGTATAAGATCAGACGAGATGACCCTGGTGATGTTCACGGCGAGCCCTAAGGAAGAGGGTTCCTGCGAAGGTGATGTGGTATGCTCCTATAATACCACGGTTGAAACATCTATTTAGAAACGGAGAGCATGCCAAGTCGATGCGATGGCACAGTGAGGACCGTAAGAAAGACGGAAAGTTGAGAGCACCCGCTGACGGGTCGCAGTGGAGAAAAATCGAGAAAAAGTACTGGGATGAGTTTGCAAAGTACCCAAGGAACGTATGGTTTGCTTTAAGCGCGGATGGCATTAATCCTTTCAGGGAGCAGAGCAGCAATCACAGCACCTGGCCCGTGACTCTATGTATGTAGAAACAATTCCTTATTTAACACTATCTTAAATTTTGTTTCCTTATTTAACACTGCAAAATTTTTTCTTCCCTATCTAACAACGAGTCTAAAATTTATGCCCTTTATAACACTTTCTTCCATTTTAAGACTAAATGACACCTGAAAAGACCCTTTTGCCCTTCATGTGATATGTATGTGTGCGGGACAGTAGCACACACACGCAATATCAGTACGGGGCAGTAGCAAACACACAGCGGCAACACATACACACGCACGCAACACGCACACACGCAGCGGCAGCACATACACACGCACACAGCACACACACGCGCATCACACAACAACACACACCCACGCATCAGCACACACAGCAGCATGTACGCACACACAAACACGCAGTCATGCGACAGCACACACCGAGCAACACACGCAGCAGCATACACACGCACACACACGCAACATCAGCAGCACACACACGCACGCACGCACACGCAACATCAGCAGCACACACGCGCGCACAAACATAAAACATGAGGGGCAAAGGGGTCTTTTCAGTTGTCATTGAGGCTCAAAATAGACAAAAGTGTCATAAAAGGCATAAAATTTAAACTCTTTGTTAGACAGGGAAGAAATCGTTTGTCGATGTTAAATAGGGCATAAAATTTAGACACGGTGTTAAATAAGGAATTCTCTCCTAAGCCTCAGCCCAGACATGGTATGATATAAGGTGAATTATAACATGCATGAAAAAGAATACTACAAAGTTCAAATATATGTTAACTATGCACACTGAAATACACAATCTGGGGGAGGGAAAACACTCTGATTTTTTTTTCGAATGAAAAACGGTGAAGGACCGCTTCTAGTGCGCATGGATCCCATGACCACACAAACCATGGCACTTGGAGCTGGCATTGGCTAGCAAGACACAATACAAATCATTTGTACATGTGCACGTCTCACACATGTCGTGAGCTTGTGCACTAGCTTATTTGGAAAACGGAACACACTTGCTATTTGTAAAAATATTAAAGATACAATGCACAATGTTTATTTAGTTGTCGCTCGTCGGTGAAGCTGGGGCGGACGATGCTGTCTTGGATTGACATCTTGGTGATCATGCTGGCGGTAGTGGTAGCTAAGCATCTGGCGGTGGTAGAAAAGGGCCTAGTAAACGCATGAGTTGGAGGACATGCGTCACGAACTCCCCGCCAGTACTGAGATGATGAGCATGGAAAGCACCCCCACAGCGAGGCGCGATGTAGAAAAGCATCTCCAGCCATACATCTCCAATGAGCTCCCAGCGGCCATCTCTAGGCATGCTATTCAGCTCGTCCGCCACTGTACATGCACGAGGCACCACCGGAGAACGAATAGCCTTTATATTGTTTTTAAGAAGTTGCACCTGAGTTGCCGGTTCGCTGCTGCTGCCGCCCATATCATCTGTATCGGCTGATTGTTGCTTTCTTATGATATTAGCTCGAAGCACCGTCCTAATAGCTCCATCCCTAGTGGCCATAGCAGCATATCGTCCAATAGCTTCCCTGATTTCCTTATGGGCGAGCAAAGGTACGAGTTTGGAGCTTCCTGTAGGCATCACACCACACGTGAAGACAAGGTACATGATATAGTTTGATAGATCTCTGCTCACCCTTGTCTTCTTAGGTGGATCGCGAAGACCATTGTTGTTTTCTTCAGTCAAGTAGCATATCTCCGTTGCAATGTGCCAGATCAGCACACTTGTTGGCAGGTCGGTGCTATCGATGATCGTGCGCAAAGCGGTCCACCTATCAAGCGCTAGCTGTCCACGAAAGCTTGCAAAGTTCCAGCCTGCTTCCTCCCCTGTTCCAAACTCTAACAATTTGTCCAGAACAAACTCCTCAAGATCTTTACTTATGGGGATTCTTGAAAACTCCTTGAGATATTTATTGTTGGGAATTACTGAAAATGTCTGTCTAATCCACCATGATACAACTGACATGATGCCTGTGGAAGCTCCCCCCATGTGGTATTCGAACATGTTATACTGTCCAAGCATTTTGGACCAGTGTTTTCTATGTCGGCCTGCGGGGTGAACATAGTTGGCCACAGACAAGGCTATAGGTGCAAGTGGAAAAGATGTTGGTGCTTCACTCGATGCGAAGTAGGAAAGAAGGGACATCGAGAGAGATGCCACCTCAAGGATTATGGCCCCTAGGAGTAATATGTAGGAGATCGTGACATCGGTATGGCTGTAGAGTTGCGCCTTTTCGGCAACCATGAAGAGCTCTAATGTTATCGAGGCAGAGATAACCGGGAAGAGCAAGAGCAATGCCATAATGTGAAGAAATGCTATGCGTAGCTTTTTGTACTCATAATATTTGGACACTGTTATGCTGAAACAGTTAATCCACGCAAAATGAAGCGCAGCCTTGGTGTAGACACGTTCATAAGAACGAACAAGCATTATACCAACATAAATGTAGGCATTGGAGCGGTCTGCGCTATACTTGAGCATATTGAGCAAGTCTGGTATGATAGTCGCGCACTCAATAGTAGCCCTATCATTGAGTGGAGTATCCAACAATATATGTACTGAATTGCTATGGGGCATTAGCTTCAAGTCGATGTCGCTGAGCATCATATCATGCACTCTCCGCCTTAGTATATCCTCAAATGATTCCTTTTGAACAGTGCCTGGTATATAGTATATATCGTTGACATATCTATCCAAATTAGCCACGGTAAAATCCTTGAGGAGCTTTGGACTAGATGTGTAAAGACAAAAGATACGCCCGATGTACTTAAAAAACCCAGACAAGAACATGAGCACTGTGGCGGCCAGGAGTCGGCTATCTTGCCAAGACGATATCGAGATGACATAGCCGGCCACCGATGCTTGGGTGACCAATCCTAGAAGGTGGCGCTGCCAGAGGTTGTTATCTTGCATGGAGAAGGCGGTGATAGTGTCCTGCCCTCCCATGTGGAGGAGCAGGAACGGCGCCCAGAAGATAAGAAGATGGTGTGAGCCACTTGCATGGACCGCGAGATGTCCAAGAACGAAAATGGCCATAGAGTCGGCTGATAAGTAGGCCAACCATATAAGGGAATTGAGTATGCGGGACACGCTATGCCTCCGCATGCCTGATGCAAAGAAGAGGAATACTTGTAGGGAAAAGCTCGCAAGTATGAGACAATGGATCTCCCATTCGTTCCAGAGAACTTGGATGGCCTGCAAACTGCCGATTGCAAAACCCAAAGGAAAACAAAATCGTCACTCACTAGATCGACGAATACTTTATTCTTTGCATGTGTATTAATATGTGCTATTTTTTTAAAAAAAATATCCAACATAACTTTATATTAAAAAAATAATCTAATTCTCATTTATTTGAGATTTTTGCAGACCTCAAACACACCCAAAACTACATATATTTATAATAAATCGTATCATTGACATAGTGTAAATTTAGCAACATGTAACTACTATTTAGTCTATCTCTAGGGTTTATACGGAGTAATATTTGTATCATGATGGTTGGATGTTGGTCAAAAAGATGTAAAAGGTGACTGGGATCCAACCATATTGCAGGCAGATATAGTAATTTCTCCTTCCTAAAAAAAGTGATCCTCTTTGTTTTGTCCCATAACTCAGAAAAATATCATCATCTACAATATCAAATCAATTTCCAGAAACTTATTATGAAGTTAGTTTATTTATTCAGTATATGAATTGTTAATATTTCTGTTAAGCTAACACAAATTACTAATTTCCTTTTTCCTTTTGAGGATCCAAATTACTAGTTTCGCGTGCTTACAGAGTTAGTCAACGTACTCTTCCCCGCAAAAAAAAAGTCCATGTACTCTACATACTTCCGCCATTTCATTCTTCTTCACACATTAGTTTTTTCAAGTCAATCTTTCTAAAGTTTGACTAGGTTTGTAGGAAAAATATCAACAATCACAATACTAAATCACGTCACGAAATATATTTTCATACTGATTTTTTGGTATCATAGATGTTGATATTTTTCAATATAAAACGGATGGAGTACTTTAGGAATGTCTGGCATAAGTTGTGACTTAAACGAAGATATAAGAAAACGAAAGCAGGGAGTTGCATCTCGCACCTTTGTTTTTGGATCGCATTGCCCCCTCCAACTTCCTCAAAACTTATTGGCCTCATTCAATCAGGTGGATATGGATAGACAAGAAAACCAAGTGAATGGTGCGAGATGTTATGTTGTTGCACGAATGCATATTAATTTATACATGTGTGTAGGAATGGAGTAAAACCCAAGTATCACGGGGAGGATGCTTGCTTCCACGAAGAGCAAAGTATGCACGTGAGCTTTTAGCATGCATATTGGTTGTATGAAAAAATAAATTCCCAAGTTACTAGGATACAAGTAATATAAGATAGATTTCCATACAATTATAACGATTTAACTTTGTAGCCGTTCCATGCTTCTTTTACTTGTAAGAAAACGCCGAAAATAATCCACTTTAATAAGATTCAAGCAGCGTCAAATCTATATATGATCCATAGTGGGCTAACCATCGAACTGGTGGTTATCTCTCTGTTCCATGTTTTCCATGTTTAATACTCTCTCTGTCCGGAAATACTTATCAAAAAAATGCATAAAAATAGATGTATCTAGAATTAAAATGCGTATAGATACATCCATTCCTCCGACAAGTATTTTCGGACGAAGGGAGTATGTTGCTCTTATATTTCTTTACGGAGGGAATAATATATATACCCTGTTCCATAAAAGAAATGCCAGCTGCGTCCTTTTCCATTTTCATAAAATTACTATCCAATCTGCAATCCATTTCCGTCCACGGCTGGTGAATATACGAAGTTCCTCTTTTTTTAAAGTGAACAAAATTCCTCTGCTGATGACGTGCAAAGAAGCAAGGACTATTCTAATCCCTTTGCTTGTCTTGTATGCAATTCCAGAATAAAGTTCCTCTTGGAAAAGAGAGTAAAATTCCTCTGTTCTGTAGTAAAGGAATGGTCCTGCTGCTACGTACCTTGCTCCACAGCGTCAGCGAAATTCCGGCATCCGGGAAAACCATACTCCGGTGACGCTTGGCATCCCGTGCTTTACCCGATCGACGGGGAAGAGGCGGAGCTTTCGATCTGGATGCATGAAAGCTCTCAGTTTTGCTTGTTTGCTCGACATTTCACATGTGCTTCTTGCTGCTAGACTAATCGAAAGTTGTTACTCCCTTTGTAAAGAAATATAAGATCATTTAGATCACTATTGCATATCTGCGTGGCTAAATTGAGCAAGATACGTCGTTACATTTGTATTTTCACGTAGTACTTATTTTTTGCGGGTAGTATTTGTTGGAAATATGTCCTAGAGACAATAATAAAATGATTATTATATTTCCTTGTTCATGATAATTGTCTATTATTCATGCTATAATTATATTATCCGGAAATCGTAATACATGTGTGAATACATAGACCACAATGTGTCCCTAGTGAGCCTCTAGTTGACTAGCTCGTTGATCAACAGATAGTCATGGTTTCCTGGCTATGGACATGGGGATGTCATTGATAACAGGATCACATCATTAGGAGAATGATGTGATGGACAAGACCCAATCCTAAGCTTAGCTCAAAGATCGTGTAGTTCGTTTGCTGTAGCTTTTCTGAATGTCAAGTATCATTTCCTTAGAGCATGAGATTGTGTAACTCCCGGATACCATAGGAGTGCTTTGGGTGTACCAAACGTCACAACGTAACTGGGTGACTATAAAGGTACATTACAGGTGTTTCCAAAAGTGTCTGTTGGGTTGGCACGAATCGAGACTGGGATTTGTCACTCCGTATGACGGAGAGGTATCTCTGGGTCCACTCGGTAATGCATCATCATAATGAGCTCAATGTGATCAAGTGGTTGATCACGGGATCATGCATTACGGTACGAGTAAAGTGACTTGCTGGTAACGAGACTGAACAAGGTATTGGGATACCGACGATCGAGTCTCGGGCAAGTAACATACCGATTGACAAAGGGAATTGTATACGGGGTTGCTTGAATCCTCGACATCGTGGTTCATCCGATGAGATCATCGAGGAGCATGTGGGAGCCAACATGGGTATCCAGATCCCGCTGTTGGTTATTGGCCGGAGAGCCGTCTCGGTCATGTCTACATGTCTCCCGAACCCGTAGGGTCTACACACTTAAGGTTCGGTGACGCTGGGGTTGTAGAGATATGAATATGCAGTAATCCGAAAGTTGTTCGGAGTCCCGGATGAGATCCTGGACGTCACGAGGAGTTCCGGAATGGTCCGAAGGTGAAGAATTATATATAGGAAGTGTAGTTTCGGTCATCGGAAAAGATTCGAGGTCACCGGTATTGTACCAGGACCACCGGATGGGTCCCGGGGGTCCACCGGGTGGGGCCACCCATCCCGGAGGGCCCCATGGGCTGAAGTGGGGAGGGAAACCAGCCCATAGTGGGCTGGTGCCCCCCCCTTGGGCCCCCTGCGCCTAGGGTTGGAAACCCTAGGGTGGGGGCGCCTCCACTTGCCTTGGGGGGCACTCCACCCCCTTGGCCGCCGCCCCCTTGGGAGATCCCATCTCCAGGGCCGGCGCCCCCAGGGGGGCTATATAAAGGGGGAGGGAGGGCAGCCGCACCTCAAGTCTTGGCGCCTCCCTCTCCCCTGCTACACCTCTCCTTCTCGCAGAAGCTCGGCGCAGCCCTGCTGCGATCATTGATGCATCCACCACCACGCCGTCGTGCTGCTGGATCTTCATCAACCTCTCTTTCCCCTTGCTGGATCAAGAAGGAGGAGACGTCATCTGCTCCGTACGTGTGTTGAACGCGGAGGTGTCATCCGTTCGGCACTTGGTCATCGGTGATTTGGATCATGACGAGTACGACTCCATCATCCCCGTTCTCTTGAACGCTTCCGCTCGCGATCTACAAGGGTATGTAGATGCACACTCCTCTCGTTGCTAGTTGACTCCATAAATTGATCTTGGTGAAACGTAGGATTTTTTTTTGCTACGATCCCCAACAGTATTTCCAATACTTATTAGGGGCCACCTATTTGTCAGTTGCCTAGAAAAAAATTGCTCTCAATGAAATGTCTAGGATGTCTTCCTCATCCAAACGGTGACCCACGCCAACGTACCGTCGTCAACCCGCCACCGCTCCTCCAATCCTGGCGGACACCTCCAGCACCCGCACAGGCACGCACCTCCAATCCTGGCGCGCAGCCACCCGCGCCTCCGCACGGACCAGAGCACCACCGCCTGGACGCCCCAGCCGCAGCTGCACCGCGACGCCTTGCAAAGCTTCGCGTTCTCGATCGGAGCCGCCGTCCACGCCAGCACACCCCCACGAAGAAGGGAAAGGGGCCCCGCCGCCACCGACGCCGGCCTGGCTTTGTCCGGCGGCGCGCTCCGGCGGCGGCGAGAGGGGGAGGGGGTTGGAGGTGTCCTCTGCCGGCGGTAGGATTGGCCCGCCCCGGTCGCCCGTGGGAGCAACGCGGGTGCGGGACAGGAGCGGGCTAATCCCAAACTTTTCAGTCTTGATGAGGACGGGGCGGCACACTTCTTAGATTGATTCCGTGCTATGGAGATATCTATACCTCTATATCTATATTTATATCTTTTTATTTACAGGTATCTATATCTATATTTATACCCAATTGATAAGTGCCACACGAGTGGTATGAAACCGTCCCGCCATGACTTTTTTACGACTAAAGTTACAATCTGAAAAGAAAAAAAATAAACTCACAAAAAATTTGTAACTTGCCATCTGAAAAGAAAGTTACCATGCTGAAGTATGCCATTCAATTTCGTAGGCGTGGGCTCTTAAGAAGATGGCCGAACAATTCAAGAACTGGAAGAAAAGATTGCACGAAAAGTTTGTCCAAAAAGAGAAGACTCCATCATTCACCGGTCAATATGAGAAGATAAAAGATCACTGGCCCGCATTTGTGGCGTACAAGACATCGGAGAAAGGTAAGCAAAGGTCGGAGATAAATAAGCAAAATGCTGCAAAAAAGAAGTATCACCATGTTACAGGGTCAGGTGGCTACAAGGTTGCCCGGCCTACGTGGGACAAAGCTGAGAACGACCTACTTGATAAAAGGATCCATCCAGCGACATTGAACTGGCCCGAACGGGCAAGGACTTGGTTCTTCAGGCATGGGGGAACTTTGGACCCAGAAACAGGGAAGTGTGTTTACACGAAAGCTCAACTTGCACACCCGTCAAAAAGATTCAGGATGCAACTAAGGACGTGCAGGAAGGGAGGTTCCATCCCGACAGAGAGAAGGACGAGTTGTCATGCACCCTCGGGAATCCCGAACACCCTGGACGAACACGAGGCACAACAGGCTCTGTTCCATGGAATGTTGGTTTTCCTGACATCAGTGCCACTTATACAAGCCGAGGGAGAAAGAGGAAGCAGACCGGCTGTAGAACATAGAAGAAAGATTAGCGTTGCAGGAGAAGAAAACAGAGGAATTTACCAGCCAGCGAGCTACCGGCCCATCATCTCAGCGGCACGAAAATCCTTCATTTGATACTGCCCACGGAGCTACCCCACCATCTCAGCGGAAAAGCAGCGTGACTTCCACGAAGCTCGTTCAGCCTGATATCACGGCTCCTCGCTACCCCCGTGGATGATATCATGGAGAGGGAACATTGTGAACTACATGCGAAATGCATGAACATAACCTCGAAGGTGGCGGTCGGCTATGCCATACCTCGTGGACCTGATGGAACTTTACATTGCACTCCAATTCCAGATGGCTATGCTGTTGTCAGGGTGGATGAAGTTTCAATGGATTTGAGCAGCTGGAGCTTGACTACCCTACAGGTGAAGGAGAGAATCATCTGGGAGATGCCGTAAGGACTACCATTCTATGGAGAAAGGAACACATCATGCTTCCACACTGGACGTCGCGTCAGCCTTCTCCACCGCCTCAGCCGTCTGAACCACCTTAGCAGACTCCGCTGCGTCAGCCATCTCCGCCACGTCAGCAGACTCTGCTACCTCAGCCCCGGCGAAAGAGAACGACCGTCACTCCGACGGCTAGTAGTACATCTGGGAAGAAATCCAGAGCAAATACAAGCATCAAGAAGGCTCCTCCCAAGTTAGCATACGAACTAAGTGATGACGAACTCGACAAGGTCGTGGTTGCCGATGTGAAACGTCAGTTTGCACCGAGACGTCCAGATCCAAAGGATAAAATAGATCTGGTAAAAGCAAACCACACTCTGGATAACCTTGTGCGAGCATCACCGCCTCCGTCGCTATCACACTATGACCGATGTATTGTAAGGACATTTGGTGAAGTGAAGCGGTCGGGAAGTAGCAATGGTGCAAGAAGTGGGAAAATAATTCGCCAGCTCAGCGAACAGAAAGACCAATCGTGCCCCCCGCTCAAGGTGTTTGCTGATATTGCTAATGATGCGGGGATAGCGGATCTTGGTTGCACTCTTGTTGAATACTTAGGCGAGGAGGCAGATTTCCCCATGACTGAGTTAGCCTTTAGATACGAGCACGGGAAGCCTCTCGCCAGACTTGTGTTGGAACACGCGGTACGCTACGCTAGCGCCAAATAAAATTTTCTACCGCGCACCCAAGATCATGCTGCTGGAAATAGATCACGGGATCGGATTTACCACTAGACGCGCAGTCACCGCAGCGGAAGTAGAGTTGGTGATGCCTGTAGCCGATCTCCTGGCCCGTCTCCTCCTCGCGTTGCCGATCTCCCGCGAACAGCTAAGAACGGTGATCTCCCGCGAACGGCACCTCGCGGTTCCCACGAACGGTTCGTCCAAGCATCGCAGATGCGATGCCTCCAAGGTATCCACACGTACGGGGAGCAGCGTCGAGCGCCGGACTGCTAGGTCCGGTCGCGCGGCATGGGCGTGGGGAGTGGCGGTGGCTAACCAGGGTTCAATTCGATCAACCCTAAGTGGTGTGCCCACTCCCCTTTATATAGACCTCCGAGGTGGGCTCAACACTTGAGCCCACTAGGAGTCCACATCCATTTTCCATTCAGATCCAATCCGAATGGGCTGCAGCCCCTTAAGTGTGTGACCCTATAGGTTCACGTACACATGGACACGAGCAGAGTCGATAGTTGGTAGAGGCTCCTAGCAGAACGTGCCAACTCCCATGTGGGCATAAAGTCGTTTGACGAATCTCAACAATGTGGCATATGCAACATTCCTTTTGCCTCACGATATTTGTTGTCGAGCTCAAGGCGAGTACTTGTCACCCTTGTGTTAGCTCGATCTCTCTTCTCGAAACCATGATACAGATTTTCGAACTGGGTTAACACTTAACCCAAGTCGCATGGCCATGCTTTCCGAATCTGATCACTCGAGAGGGCCCAGAGAATATCTCTCCAAATAGGAGGGGCAAATTCCATCTTGGTCAACCATGTGTCGCGGCATGTCTCACGACTCACCCGAAAGCTACCTTTATAACTACCCAGTTACGGAGTAGCGTTTGATAGACCCTAAGTGAGTCGATCCTCATCCCGAGAACATGCGAGGACCTCAGGTCTAGGATGTGGCATAGACATTGCACTTGAGACTAACAGATGACTATATCTCGCTGCGTCTCAAAGTGGGTTTGTCCGGCTCGGTGATCTCCATCCCCGAGCCCATACTATCGGTTTAGCATCTCCATGCACATGACTTGTGAAACATAGTCATCAACCGAGTCGTATACTAGTCAAGGATATGTGTCCGCATAACCTTATCAACTAGGGACCATTAAAACAATCATCATACAATACATAGTTCCACAAACAAGTCACATACTTATTGATACATATCATTGATGATGTTCAAGGACAATACAAAGGACTCATGAATACATATGGAAACATCACCATCACATGATTGCCTCTAGGGCATATCTCCAACAACCTGAGCAGCTCCTGCATCTACCAACACAAATGCGAAGATTGCATCAGTGGTACATGAAAGACTGCAAGGAATGGAGCGACAGTATCTACGTGGGAATTAAAGATGAGCACTACTTCAATGGAGTCGAGGCGTTGTACATTGAATTTGAAGAGTTATTTCAGTTATACAATCAAGACGCTCTTAACAAAACTATCACCAGTTGCTATTGTCTGTAAGTATTATTTCTGTAATTAAGTCTCTAGGTCAGCTCGTTCATTGCATGTATAATTATCCTCAGTATATTATGCAGATTGAAGATCCTCGAATGCAAAAGAGGACAAATCTATGACATTTGGTTCACTAACCCAAATACCGTAAATGAATATATGGTACAACACAACGCCGAGGATACGGCGAAAAACTTGCTAAATGCGTTAATTCGACAACAAAACAGAAGGGAAATACTATTTCCTTACAACTTCAAGTGAGTGTTACTGTCTTGTGCACATTCTCTTTCGCTTACTCGAGGTTAAGTGTAATTGATGAGTTATGTGTGCGCAGGTTCCACTTTTATTCTGCTAGTCATTCTGCTTGACGCAGGAGTAGTAATTGTCTTGGACTCGAGACGTAAAGAGCCTAACAAGTGGGTGGACATGAGTCAAATGCTCCAGAAGTAAGTTCAATCATTTCGCATTATATCAGCAACTTTCGTTCATTTTCTGATATCAAGTAATCATTTTCTTTGCCGGGCATGGTTTGGGAAAAGTTTACCAAGGAGGCTAGGGATGAATGGAAAAAGGAGCTGCGATTTCAACACCCCAAATAAGTAGTACTAGCTAGTTCCACGCATCTCTCATTGATTCTAGTTTTAATACTATTATCATGCTTGATTATCATTTTGATTGAACTCTATTCTCGTAAAGTGCTTGTGGCAGGCACCCGAGAATAATTTATGTGGATACTACATTTGCGAGTTCATTCGCCACACGACCAATAAGCAGGGCAGATCTTCACAACAACTTGAAGTATGTAAACAATATTCACAATTTTGTTTTATTACCATCAATTTATTTATATATATATATATAACCCCCTTCTTTAAATTAGATTTGGCGGAAGCGGGACGAACTCCTACCAAATGATCGCATACGAGCAATTCAAGAGGAATTGGCTGGATTCTTTCTTGAGCATGTCATACCTACATACGGAGAATACCATCATGATTTGCAATGTGATTTTGGTAATTAGATATTAGGGATCTTAAGAGATGTTATGTTGTATATGTGCATGAACGTGCACTATATGTAGTAGCGTTGAATAGATATGCGAAAACTTGTTGTTCGACCAAGCATGGAGAAAGAAAGGTCACTTCTCTCTATATATTCATGACGATGTTGTGTAATGGTTCCTTCATTGCTATATGTAGTAGCTATCGTCGAGTTGAATGAAAAACATAAAATAAAAACGAAAACCCTAAATTTAAAAGAATTGAATGATAAACACAAAAGGAAAAGGGGAAAAACACAATGTGAAACCTTTAAACCCTCCAAACCCCTCCTTTTAAAAGAAACCCAACACCTGGCAGCTGCTGACGCGTCGCTGCTTTTTAGTCCCGGTCGGTGTGGTCCTCCTGCCTGGCGCCCCATAGCGGCCACATGGAGCTCTTTTAGTCCCGGTTGCGAACCGGGACTAAAAGTGAGGGCATTTAGTTCCGATTGCTTAGTCCCGGTTGTAGAACCGGGACTGATGCCCTGTTTTCTACTAGTGAAGGTGGCGATAGTTATAGAAACGAGGGGCCCAAATCATGGGGACCGGGCAGAGGAATTAACTACATCCGCTAAAATATGAATAAAAGAGGAGGTGGCTGAAATATGCTTTAAGTTTCATGCTATGCAGGTTCAATAGTGCTCACAGTTAATTAAAAGGGCCAAAATTGAATCCAGTGCCTGGAAGGAGGTATGCAGGAGATCTCCTAGTCAGCGCATAAGGTGGTGCGAGCTCATCAAACACTCAATCCTCTCGCGTGCGCTCTGGGAGAGCCCATTGCAGGGTGGGGTGCCCCTGTTTTTTCCTTTAATTTTTCATTTTCTTTTGTGTTTTTCTTCTTATTTTTAAAAATGTTTGGGGTTTCAAAAAATGTTATTGGATTATAAAAATTCCACGAATTAAGAAGAAGCATCCCATATTTAAAAAAATTTGGAATAATAATAAGTTCCCAAATTTTAAATACATTCTTGAATTTTAAAAAGTTGCCAGATTTCAAAAAATGTTCGCAATTTGAAACACACAAGATTTACAAAATATTCCTAAATTTCGAAAAAGCTGTTAAATTCAAAATATGTACAAGAAAAAAACATTTCCTAATTTCAGTAAAAGCACGAATTTCATAAATATCCCCAGATTTCAAAAAACTGTCATGAATTTTGGAAATTTCTTGAATATAAAAATATATTATGAATTTATAAAATATTTCTATTTTTTTAAAAAATTCTAAAACCTTAGGAAAAAAATCACATATTTTAGTTTTTTCTACATTACAAAAATCCAAAAAAATTAAGGAAACTTATAAATAAATAAAATTGAAAAACTATAAGTAAGAAGAAAAGGCCGATTCCAGGAAGGTTCTATAACCTCCTCAAAACTGGCGATGAGGAACTAGGAATCAGCCGGCCAATATAGCAGACACTGTCGCCAGGGGATACACATTTGGTTTGTATTTTTCGCCCTACGCATGGATACCATATCAGCGTGTATGCAGGCTATGAAACACTTCGCTAATAACTTAAAAAAAAACACTTCGCTAATGATATGTGTTTGATGATACACATTCGAATGGATGGCACATTGCGAATCAACCTGTGGTTGAGATGGTTAGGTGGACAGTGATATCCTCAACCCACCAGGGTTCAAATCCTGGTGCTCGCATTATTTCTGGATTTATTTCAGGATTTCCGGTGGTGCGCTTTCAGTGGGATGAGAGTTGCCGTCGATGACGAGGTGCCTACGGCTCAGTCTTTCGGAAGTGCTTGTGTCTCTCCTGATGCTAAAAAGAAATAATGGATGACACATTTTTCCTTGGAAAATGATTGTTCGCTTTTTCGCGCGCGTACGAAAGGAGTAGTGGCTCCACGCAAACCCACTCCGGTACCTTATCTTCTCTCATTCATGTTTTTTTTCTCGTCCGCTCGTTCTTCTTTCGTCTTCCTTCTTCGCTACTTTCTCAACCGCGCGTATGGGGATCGTTGACCCAGCCGGGCTTCTTGCTGATCTCGTCTGCTCGTGGTGGCGTCAACCGTCTCCCTTGCAGGGCACGTCACCCCCATCTCTTTCCTCTCCGCGAGCTTGGAGCTTCCACCGTCAGCTCTTCGTCGTCGTTTCATGGCGCAGCCCCATGCCCCTCGCAGCCGGTCGGGATGCTGTGAGCCGTCAAGCGACATAAGGGTGTGCACTCTAGAAGTGCTGCGCTCGAGGTTCGAGAAGTTGCAGCCGTGGTTTTTTTTTGCTGGAAAGGCTTATTAAGAAAAGCTCGAAATTTTGGAAAAAATGCTTGGGAAATACAAAATGTTCATGATTTTTTTAAAAAGTTCATGCATTAAAAAACTGTTAATGAAATTGAACAAAATATCGGCAATTTAAAAAATGTTCATGAATGAAAAAATATCCTAAAATTAAAAAAACTTTTAATGACTAAAAATATAGTTTATTCATTCGTAAGATGTTTCGTTGATTTAATAAATGATCATGTATTTCAAATAATGTTTGTTAAATCGAAAAATGTTCCACCAATTTTCAAAACAATGTTCGTCCATTCTAGAAATGTTTGCTGATTCAAAGAATTTTTTTTTAAAAAAAGTTGATGGATTCAAGAAATGCTCATGATTTTAGAAAATGTTTGAAAATTTGTAAAAGTGTTGATGAATAATATGTTGATGATTTCACAAAATTGAGAGTGATAGTGTATCTGGGTGATGCAGAGGAATCTGATAATGTCACTGGAGATTATGATTTTATTTTTGTTGTCTCTCCTGTTGTTGAAACGCATAGACCCTTTTGCTAGTAGAAAAAAAAAGGGGAGGAGTAGTTGTTGGCGAGCACGAGGGGAGGGGAGCAAACGTCCAAATGCAGCTGCGGAGATGCGGCGGGCGTCGTGCGTCCCATGTGAATGCTGTCTCAACTCTCAACCTGTGTGTGTTCAATCAAACACAGCCGGAAAAAGGACCAGATTGACGGAGCAAAGTTGCCGGCAGCTGTGAATCAGTGTGCGATCCATCGCTTTCTTCCCCACACCCCACACCCCCAACCCCGACCCCAGATCAGATCCCTCCCCTCCTCCCCCTGCCCAGCTGACACTCATCCGGATAGCGACACTCCCTCCCACCGCCACCGTCGCCGTCCGCCGGCCGCCATGGGCTCCTCCCACCGCCACCTGATGCGCCTGCTCGACGACCCCTTCTTCCCCTTCCCCCCACCACCGCCCACCT